AAGGAAATTAACTACATAATTTTAAATAGAAAGAAAAAAATTATATAGCTCAATCTAGACTGTATCCTGATTTTAACCACAGATTAATCTAACTGTGCTTTTTTCCTTTCTCTTTCCATGTCATAATCCTGGTTGGCTCAAAGTTGAAATTGAATACAGATTGAGTCATAACTGGGTGGCATATAAAGGACACCTTTATTCAGTAAATGACATGATACTTACCCAGAATCAATTCTTAAGCTATTGTGAGAATAAAAAAGCTGAATTTATTTCAGATATAAGTGAGGAAGAGGAGGTAAGTAAAATATAGTTCCCAGGTTTGATAGTTGCTAAATGAAAATTACATGATCGTAACTGTCCTTACAATCTTACCCCAGCCTTCCTTTGCTTTACAGTGTCAAAAGGATACAGGTTACCAGATTTAAAATAATATTTTATCAAAGACTTGTTAAGACATAAATATCATTGATCAAATATAACACAAGGGCAATATTTACATTTACAACATTTGCTAACAGCATTGTTTGAACCAACAGCATTTTCAGCTTTGAGACGCCAGAAATATGAGAACAATTTGTTGTTCTTTTTTGAACCTTTATTGAAAATTTAAAACATTAAAATACAAAATACAATACAAATATTTAAAATGAAAGTATTGTGTATATTACAATTCATTTTGACAGTGCTTACATTTCAATTGTTATTCCACTGCATATTCATACTCCTATTTGTTCTTATGTATATGTCTCTATCTTTCTAAATTATACATTCCTTATTTACTTAATTGCTTATTTCTATCATTAATCCAATGGTACCAATTTTCCCATACTGTATAATAAACTGAGTCATCCTTGTCTTTTAATTCTAATAAAAATTTGTCCATTTCCGTGCAATCAAAAATCTTCTGGATAATTAAACTGTCGGCATAGAATCTTCTTTCCAATATGGTGCAAGTGCTGATCTCGCTGCTCTTATTATATGCAGGATTAAATATTTTATCTCTTTTGTATAATTCCCTTTAATGATTCCCAGAAGAAATATTTCTGCTTTAAATTCTATTTGGACTTTCGTAATTTCTTTTAACCATTTTCGTATTTTGGTCCAATATTTCTTTCAATATTTCCATGATGGCTGTGGCTATCATTGATCTTCAGTGTGTATTCACCCATTTTTAACCTAATGATTGGTATTTCGGGAAGCTTTTTGCGAGCAAAGAAGCTTTTTGTATTTTGGTACAGGTAATCCTTGACTTACAACAGTTCATTTAGTAACTATTCAAAGTTACAATGGCACTGAAAAAAGTGACTTATGACCATTTTTTCACACTTACGACCATTGCAGCATCCCAACGGTTACGTGATAAAATTCAGATGGTTGACAACTGTTTCACATTTATGACGGTGGTAGTCTTTTGCAACCTTCTGACAGCAAAGTCAACTGTTAAGATTCACTTAACAGCCGTGTAACTAACTTAACAACTGCAGTGATTCACTTAACAAACGTGGCAAGAAAAGTAGTGAAATGGGGCAAAATTCACTTAATAAATTTATCACATAGCAACATAAATTTTGATCTCAATTTTGGTTGCAAGTCGAGGAGAGGTGAGGCCACACTTCACAAGGAGTGGCTGGGAGGGGAGGGGAAGTGAAGGGTTAGGCGAAGTTGGGTGAGGCAAGGGACCCCACAATGTGAGTGACCTTGAGTTGGCCATGCCCACCCAGTCACATGACCACCCTGCCAGGCCCACTCAGCCAGTATTAGGGCAGAGAACCAGTTGTTAAATTATTTGAATCCCACCACTGAACATAAACCAAATGTTGAAAAGCAAGGACGTCATTCTGGCAATCAAATGTAGATTAATGTCAGCATGCCAGGGAACATCCATTCTGGTCAGTAACTTCAAGACAAGCATAATCTCAAAAGTACTTTTATTAGAAATAGTACCTGGCACATCTGTGGAATTCTGAAACTAAAAGTTTCCCGGACTTCCCACAATGTCCCAACCTACAAACCACCTCCTTTTTACTCATCATCACATCACATGAACCAATGCCAAAATATGTTCCAATTCTTTTTTTTTTTAAGTAAAATTTTATTAATTTTCAAAAAAAAGTACACAAACAAAACATAAGACATAAGAACATAAAACATCTTTTCCAACAACTACTTAACAAAACAAATAAGACATCTCATTTAAGTACAATATAGTTCTAAATTATCACATTTCCACACATAACTTAATATGCATCTTATATATTCAACTTCATATCTTATTACTGTTTTCCACCTTCTTACTGTTTCTTCCTTTATTTCTATTCAATTTTATTCATTCATATATTTCATATTACTATATTTCATATTGTTACTATTTCATATGTTCTTATCCAATATTACTCCTCAATAAGCAAATATAAACTGACAAAACACATAACATAAAAAATATAAAACTTCTTTTTAGAAAGCGGCTTAACCCCGGGTTATAACTTTTGGTACAGACTTAAATTAAATTCATGCTCAGCTTATATACTATTTCATATCTTATTAAAAATTCTACATTTTACATATATCTTCTCCCCTCTTTTCACTCTCTTGATTCTACTTTGTTTATTTAATCTCAATTTAAATCATTTCACTTGTATTTTTTGTCCGTTCTTTTTCAATCATCCATTTATCTTTCTCTTAAACACAAACTTTTTCCTGTAATGACTGGTTGAAGTATGACACCTTTCTATTTTCCCCCCAAATTCAACACTTAAAATTAAACATTATTTCTATTCTGATTCTGCTTAGTACATTCTACGTGACATTTTAAAATAAAAAAAACACAATATTCTTATAGTATATTAAAAATAGTATTCCCTAACAAATTAGTTAAATAAACATCAATTACACAGTCCCTACAATATTCTATTGACACATATTTCAAATACAAATATAAAATACAGTCTTGTGTACCTTTGCAGAATCTCTATTTAAATTATATTTTACCCTTTGTCTCTAAAAAATAGTTGTTTATTAACATCTTGTTTAAAGTCTTTATAACTTCCCTTCGCTTTGTCCCTTCCTTCCTTATCAAATCTAGCCTTTTTACCCCCCCCTCTCAATCTCCAACTTTTTAATCTCCCCTCTCTGTTGTATTCCTCTTTTCCGTTGCTTTCTATCATTATATCGATTTTTCACCTTACTTTTCCCTTTCTTAATTGTTTTTTTAGAGCTTAAATTCTTGATTTTCTTCTCCTTTTTACCCTTTTTTAAAATCATATGTCCATTAAAGATGGCTTCTTCTTCATCGTCCCAGCCTCTTTCTTGTTGCATTTCCTGGTAAGCAGAAATCGCCATTTCTAAAAAACAAAAGATAGATCCAAAAGAGCCACCTTCCTCTTTTCTCAATTTTTCGAACTGCATTTTCAATTCTTCAAAAGATACCATTGTAAACAGAAAAGGTTTTTTTTTTAAGCAGTCCAAATGTTTTCTTAGTCTTTCAAAAGATAGTTAAAGTCCCAAAGTCATGAAGCAATCAAAGTCAGTACACTCAATGCATTCTGTTTCGCTTTCTTACTTGCTCTTCCTGGGGAAGAATTCAATTACATGATTCCAAGACATTTTTTGGAAGTTTTATTGCAATTTAATCTCTAATCTTATAAAACTACAAGCAGTCTCCTTCAACAAACGTTAGTATAAATCATTTGCCTCTCTTCCTTCCCCCTTAAAGCAAGAAGATTTGAGTTTTAAAGTATCAGTATTTGAGAATGTAATTTCCCCTTGGCTTCAATTTTGAAAGTTAATACCTTCTGCTGCCAATACGGGTGTTTCCAATTTCCATCTGCTGCCTCCGTGGGAAGGAAAGTGAGGGAAAAAAAAGTTTTCCCTTTACTCTTCCACCGCAGCTTAACGATCCTCTGGGAAACAATATATCACTTGAAAAGCCAAAGTTCCAGGGTATTCAGATGTTAATTGTTGTCCCGGTTCAGCCAAAAGCTTTCTCTGTTTTCTCTTCCTTCAGCACCCCTCCTGCGCAATCTTTTTCCGGATGCCAGCCTCTTCATGGCGGCCATAAGACCACCGCTGCATCGTCTTGAGAGAAGGAGGTTTAAACTGGGTGGGGAGGGGGTCTGCGACATCTCCAAACCCATTCCCAGATCCTCCCTATCTTCGGCTGCCTCTATAGGGCAGCCTTATCCTCCAAATCCATCTGGATCGGAGGCACCAAGACAGCGAGCACAGCAGGGATCGCGAAGAAACGCAAATCCCTGCTGTCACCGAAGCCTGACAACCAATATGTTCCAATTCTTTCGGCACCACGCTGTTTGACCTTGAACTATCAAAAGAATTCTATTTTGTCTACTAAGAGCTACTCAATTAATATCACCCCCCTCCCACTTTCTCAAGCTATATGGCAGCGATGAATTAGGATTCCATAGCAGACAGTTAGTTTGCTGTATTATGTTCCCTGTAGCTACCTACCATTGACCTTAAATAAGCAAGACAGGATGAAACCAACTCATTTGAGCTGGAGAAGGCTTGGACAGCAAAGGTGACTAGCAAGCAAATACTGGAACAAATAACACCAGACATGTCACTAAAAGCAAAATCACAAAACTGCCTTCATGTCATGCATGGGAATTCACTGAAGAATGCAATTCAGTTGTGGAAGAGTTAGCCCGAAAAGGAACTCAGGCTGCCAAAGACCTCTATGGCTGGACACTGTTGAGGTAATTCCCCGTTAGGAGAATGAGCGCATACAGGGAGACGTATATGAGAGAAGTGTTTGAATAATACACACACAGCACACAGATACACTGTACAGTAAATATAGGTTTTTTTACTTCCAGAAATGTTTAAACAAAGTTCAAAATAGGCAGCCCAAGGTCATTCATAGGTTAAATCAGTCAGTTTTCAGTCCAGGGATAATCCAATAACAAAGTCCAGTTTCAAAAACAGTTCAGTATCAGACTTACATTAAATCCAGGAATAGCAGTCAATTAGGAGAAACGGCAATACAACGGAAGGAAACAGACTCACTCACTTCTGAGACTAAGACTAAAACAACCCAGGTTTCTGCCTCCATCTTATGGCCGTTTGAGAAACCACACCCAATTACACTTTTAGGATTCTCTTAAAGATACAATATTAAAATGTCTATCCTGGTTTATATATTTCCAACCCAAATCTCTATTAGGTGACTTACATTCCTAACAGGCACCATCAGTGCTGGCACCAGTCAGAGCATAGAACAAACTAGGAGGTCAAGATTGAAAGATATGGAGAGACCTGGCCCACAAAATCACCAAGAGTTGGGCACAACTGAATGGATAACTTTATCATCACATCACTAGGATCGCTAGGAGGCATTGCTGAAGAATTGGGTCAACCTCTATCCTAACTTTTATGGTGGTGAAACCATTGTGGATCTTCAACCAGACCCTCAAAGAGATTCTACTTGACCAAAGCCTGCACTTTCAGCTTCATGCAGTCCACCAATCTGTCTCATGCTACCCAGGTCCACAGCTTCCAAAATGGCCGGGCTTAAAGAGGCTGGTCCAAAAATTTCTTCTCACCTCTTCTCATGCTCTTCTTGACTCTCCTTCATCAGCAATCTATATTAACAGTCAACTAGAAGACACGCAAGCAAGAATTCTGTAGATGGTCAGAGGGAAATACTTTGAGTTTGCTGGTGAATCCCAAGTGTTGCATGGCTTTTAATTGTCCTGCCTTTAATCAAGGTGTGCAAAATATAATAAGGCCGCTTAGAACTTCAGTGAGCGGCTGCTCAGAAGGAGGAAAGAAGGTGAGCAGATATATCCTCACAACCAACCTGAGGTGCCAAGAGACTGTTTCTACTCCACTGTGGGAGTGACCTGCGTTTGCATCAGATTGTATTCTTCATGGAAGCACTGAAGATGGTTGCTGATTTTATGGGAACAAACTAAGGCCAGAGTGGTGTGGCTTGGTGGGTGTGGCATAGCTTGGTGGGCATGGCTAGGTGGGCGTGGCAGGAGAAGGATACTGTAAAACCCCCATTTCCACCCCACTCCAGGGGAAGGATACTGTAAAATCCTCATTCCCTTCCTACCCCACTAACCTGCTTTCCAGCTCTGTTCTCTTGTGCAGGGCAATAAAAGAAGACCCAGCCAATCAGCTGGGCACTTGAGAGGCAGTGAATAGATGGGGGCAGGGCCACCCAGATGTGGTATTTACTGGTTCTCTGAACTACTCAAAATTTCTGCTACCGGTTCTCCAGAATCTGTCAGAACTGGCTGAACAACAAACCGATAAAGATAATATATAAATATTTGCTAGACTATAAAATGGAGGAAGAACAAGTTAAGGAGACAATGGTGGTATGGGCTAAAAACTTTGGATACAACATTGAATTGGATAGGTGGCATAAACCTTGGGAAAGAAATAGCAAATCGATATTGGCCAAAGCATACAAAGAGAATCTTTATAAAATGTTTTAAAAGTGGCATCTTCCTCTGGCGAGATTGGTCAAAATGTTTAGTAACACATCCCTGAAGTATTGGAAATGTAAAAAATCATCAGGTACATACTACCACCTGTGGTGGATGTGTAAATAAGCAAGGAAATTTTGGTGACAAATCCAGATGTAGTTAGAAAAAATGGTTGGACAACATCTAGAATTTAAACCA